GAATTGCAAGGTTGCTGTTTACACCCAGTACCCGGTAGCATTTTTCTAAATTTATCTACATATTAATTAAATTATTTATTTATTTATTTATTTATTTATTTATTTATTTATTTATTTATTTATTTATTTATTTATTTATTTATTTATTTATTTATTTATTTATTTATTTATTTATTTATTTATTTATTTATTTATTTATTTATTTATTATGCAAGAGATAAGTAGGCACTGCATTTAGCATTTCGTAGTGTTTGCATAAGTTTTTGAGATTGTCAAAAATACAAAGGTCTCAAACTATCTTTTTACATTATCATATTGTGTGTTTTTGGCCAACATTCTTTGTTTACCTCCACACGTTATACGTTTTCCTATCAATCTAATACATTACTACTTTAAAAACCTGTACAAAGTGTGGCAATACCAACGATGATTTGCAACCACATCAAGATGTTAACCCAAATTTATTACTGAATGCTCCAATTTCAGAAAATGAAATCTTAAACGCTGTTCATAATCTTAAGAAAAACAAATCCGCTTGCCCTGATATGATTATTCCAGAATTTTTGAAATATTCATGTGATTTAACCGTCCCTCTAATCCATACTCTCTTCAATAGTATATTTAACACTGAGCATTTTTCACAGGGGTGGTCCAGAGGTGTTATAGTTCCAATTTACAAAAAGAACAACACTCGTGGCCCAAACAATTACTGAGCAATAAGCCTCCTAAGTGTATTTAGTAAAATATTCACTGGTATTCTAAATCAACGTCTAAAAGCTTGGGCAAATGAATATAACAAAATTCCCGAGGTACAGGCGGGTTTCAGGGAGGGGTACAGCACTATTGATCACGTGTTCACTCTATCAGCAATTATTTAAAGGTATCTATCACGAAGAGGTGGGAGGTTGTATTGCTTTTATGTCGACTTTCAAAAAGCCTTTGACTCCGTTGAAAGAAATTGCCTTATGTATAGGCTGAGTTTAGACGGTATCAATGGGAAAATGTACAATATTTTGCAATATATATATAGCGATGTTAAATCTTGTGTTAGGATTGGTGGGTCTACATCGGATTACTTTCAACTTGAGAGAGGTGTCCGACAAGGATGTCTAATTAGTCCCATTTATTATAAATGAAATAGAATCAAACTTATGTGATTCGGGGCTCAGGGGTATACAGTTGTTGCCAAATGACATGTTTGAACTTTTTAATCTTTTGTACGCTGACGATATTGTTTTTATGGCAAATAATGTTATAAATTTAATGTTATGATCTTTCCGTTAATTACATATGGCAGCGAAATATGGGGTTTCAAGACATATCCTCAACTAGAAAGTATTCACACAGAATATTGTAAAAGATATTTACTCAACACGCTGCATTAAATATTGGTTGAGGGTTACCAGGTTAGGGAACGAGCGTCTGCCGAATAAAGCTTTAAAATGCTTTTAAAATATATGCACAATCAAGGCAAACGCATATGGGCTACTGAAATAATGCTCATATTAGACAATTTAGGTTGTGGCACAGTCTGGAAAAATCAAGGCGGTGAAAACAGTGAAAATGTTCTACTTGAGTTCAAAAGCCGTGCGCAAAATGTAGGTAAAAGAATTTGGTACTCGGATATATGTACGGCGGAGAAAACAGATCATTATCGACAATTTAAATTTAACTTTGGCAGAGAAATGTACTTAAAGCTTTCAGTCAACACAAAACTTCGTAGAGCATATGTCCACTTAAGGTGTTAAGATCACCCTCTAGCTATAGAAGTCGGTAGACACAGAGGAATCGCCAGGCAGTATGGAATTTGCGATCTATGTTTGTCTGAAATTGAAGACGAGTTCCATTTTCTTCTAAAATGCCAAAACTCAGCACATTCAGGCAAACATTTTCTCCCCAGTCTCTCCAGGACCATGCAGCAAACACATTGCAGGATTTTCACAAGATAATGGCATCAGACAACCCGACTGATATTGAAAGTGTTGCTTTATTTTGTTTTCATGTATTTAAAATTAAAGAGAGATTGTAATTTAAGTATTTATATTTTATTTTCAACCCTATGACAGAAATGTAATGATTTATTATTATTTGCGTACATGGGCCAGAGGCCTAAATACGAATAAATATATTATTATTATATATTATATATAATAGGCTGGCTTCCTCTAATGCCAGAAGCCGGGATATTGTACAAGTTTATACTACCTGCAAATTTGATTCATAATTCACCGTTCAAGATTAAGGTCCACATCAGAATTCAATATTTTAATTTTTTGTAATCTTATAATTTCTCACCCATTCTCTCATAATTATCTTATTGTTAGATCGATATCAGAGAGGGATCTACATGTACAATAGAGTCGAAATATGGTATTTTAATATTTACCGGATCAGGATTTATTGGATGGTCGTCGACCATAAAAGTACTGAACAATGTAATTTAGATGTCCCCTAGTACAAGTTGTCAGAGGCCCACATGAAGACTGTTAGATACATAGTTTATTGTTGATCTGAACGTTTGGCAATAATTAAAAAAAATATATTTTGCGTCTGGAGCTTGATAGGGTACTGCGCGTCTGAGAATATTGTTTGACTTTGTAAATCTTAATGTAAAATTGCCGACGATGATCACAAAATACCTCCATGAAAGCCCATAGTCTAAGGAGTGGCAGGTATCATCCGGCATACTTTTTT